AGAGGGCACGTTCTGCATGGAGCACTGGGTGTTATATGCAAACAATGAATCATGGAACACTACATCAAAAACTAATGATGTAATGTATGGTGATTAATATAACATAATAAAATTAAAAAAAGAAGAAGAAAATATGCGTGAAAACCAAGGGATCATCAGACCTAACTGTGCACCATGGAGGAAGGAAAAGAGCAAGGAGGTCTCTGGTGACTGAATACTGGCTCTCATTCCACTGTAAAAGCTACTTGCAATGAATGGGATCAGTGACTAGCCATTTTGGATAACTCAAGCCATTGTGTTGACGTCTTGGACTGAACTGGCCCCTGGCGTACAGATTTATAAGATATTTATTCAGATCTCAGCATTATTTTTGATTCTACCAAATTAACTCCTGAAATGCTTTTGAGCAGTTTCGGAATCAAAGAGACTCATGTTTGCAATGGATGTACTTTGCTGAGGTCGTGGTCCTATTAGAAGTCAGTAGCAATGTGCCCATTTTCTTTAGGTGGTTACTGAGGAACACACCCCAAGTGATCAAACACGGGGAGGAAGGTCACCAGAGCCCAACAACTGGGCAAATTCAAAACATCTGGAACCATCTGAAGGCACATTAGCAGCATGATCAGGTCTCTCTTTCCCCCTGCTCAGCAAGAGAGGAATTACGGTGAATGGAATGACCCCAAAGATTCTATCCTGCCCTAAGTTCCACATCAATACGAAGCAAGACTTTCTATCCAGTGATGCTCAAACTGCAGTGCTCTTGAGATTCACCTGGGAAGCCTGGTAAAAATGAACATTCACAGGCTCTAGCTCATTAGTAAAGAAAGCATCCGAGAAATCTACATTTTTTTTTTTTTTTTTACAAAGGCAATTTTTACAAAATTAAAAAAGCAGAGTGGAGTCACTTTACTACAGATAGCCCAAAAGTGGCACTTTATGAAGCTTGGGTTTCGGCCGTAAAATTTGACTCCTTTTTTTTTTTACTCCCCCTTTCCCCTCTTTCTCTGGTCCACCTGGCACAAAACACAGAAAGCAAGATTTTAAGCTCATTGGGGTTGGAGACCTCATCTTATTTCCTTTATATCCCCCCAGAGTACACAGCACAGTGGTGCTAAGCAAACACTTACTGAAATTGAATGAGACAGATGTTAACCACAGGTGAAGAGTTAGCGCCGTCTTTAAACGCCTATTTATAACCCACCACTAATACCACTGGTGAAAGAGACATTAATTACCTGGTCCAGGAAAAAGGTTTGAGATTAAAGTCTCAATTCCCTAGACCTCACTGTCAGTTAATCACAAAGCACCCATTAAAGCGGGGCTGGTGCAGCCAGCCTTCTTCACTCACAAACCCAGAGATTGTACCGGCTCCAAACACTTGGTGAAAGGTTTAAAACACCGCGACTCTCCCCTGTACGCAACAGTCTATTTCCTGCCAACACGGAGTCACGATCCTCAAAAGGAAATTACACAAACTGCTCATGCTTAGAAGCAGGACCATAAAATGTGTCTTCAAATGTTTGATGGGTGGGCAACGTTGAGCAATAGATGTGAGATTCCCTATTCTGTAGCCTTCGAGAAGTATTTGTAGGATGGTTGCTACAGGACTAGATCCTAAATAAAATACTTTGCCAAGCCAATGACATCGCATAAAGAAAGCCAGTACGTAATGAGAGAAAACACTTACCTATCTAAATAATTAACAATATTGGGGTTCTTATTTTCCCTCATGACCAGAATTTCATTAATAATTAATTCCTTTTTGGGCTGCTGTTGAAGGTTCATCTGCTTTATGGCCACCTGAAAGATAATGCAAGGATGAGTTACAGTCATTAAATACACACATCCATGGTTTTGGTTTTGTTTTTTTGTGTGTGTGTTTTTGTTTTGTTTTTTTGTGCTTTTGTTGTTGTTTTTTTGTGTGTATGTGTTTTTGGTTTTGTTTGTTGTTTTTTTTTTTTTTTTTTTGGTACACAGAGTAAGGCATAAACATTCTTTATCTTACTAGGCTCTTTCTCAGCGCCGCAAACTCATGCCCTTTTCTTTGGTCAATCAGGAGGAAACCACCCACTTCTGAAACTTTGGACATCGATGGAATTGATTCCCACGTCAACCCAGTGCCATCCATTTTGTAAGGCCTAGCTGCCATCAAAGAAGAAGTAAAAATCAGGATCGAATGCAAGCACTCACCTCTTGTCCGGTGGCAATGTCTAGCGCTGTGTAAACAGTACCTGATGCCCTGTGAAGGTGAAAGTTATCAAATGAATAAGCAATCCAGGTGTTATCCATATACTTTATTTGAAATAAGGTGTAATTATTTTTAGGAGAGGGAAATCGGCAAACTTAAGATTCAAGGATGAAACAACGAAGGGACAACTGTTTTGTGTGGTAATTACACCTGAGACAGTCTCAGTGTATCCCTTTTGGTGGGCTAGGAACTCCGGTCAGACTTTCTGCAGTAATGAACTGAGCAAAATAGCTTTGGTCCTTTTAGGAAACTCCTGGAATATTCTGAATACTCCTTGGATGTTGCAACAAACAACACTGCAGTCCTCTGACTAAACTCAAGTACCGTTTAGGAAAGAATGTATCATCTCTTTTTTAGGCAACTGTATAAATCAACCTTTCCTTTTAGCATATGGACAGAGTGGCTTTTTTTCCCATAGATTTCTAATTCTTAAGAATATTTTCACCTAGGGGTGCCTGGGTGGCTCAGTCAGGGAAATGTCTGCCTTCGGCTCAGGTCATGATCCCAGGGTCCTGGGATCGAGCCCCGCATTGGGCTCCCTGCTCCGCGGGAAGCCTGCTTCTCCCGCTCCCACTCCCCCTGCTTGTGTTCCCTCTCTCGCTGTGTCTCTCTCTCTCAAAAAAAATTAAATAATCTAAAAAAAAGAATATTTTCACCTAACAAATCATTCACACTCGGTGCTGTACTTACCTATTGCCGTAGCTACATAAAGCAATGGACAACATGACTTCACTGTTTTTCTTTTTTTTCCTTTTTTCTAAATTTCTCAGCAACTTCTACTACGAGGTTTCCTTCCAGCCCACCATCCTTTAAAAATCTATCGTTGGTTAGGCCTTGGAAGTACTCACACTTCCATTCTAACTTCAATTATAGGGGTACTTTGCTTTGCAAATAGCAATTGTTTAGTGAGGCTGAAGTCACAGTAAGGTTCTGTGAAACACACATGCATTCTGAACTACCTCCCCACCTCTATCCCCAGGAAAAAGGAAAAGCCTCATCAATTTCATTGAAATGTTTGTGATGAATAAAGGAATAAGGATGGAGATCAGTCCTTGTGATTCACCAGACATTATAATGCTCCAATATTGCTATTTAAAATTTCTAGTAACTATTGTTTCTCCTTTGCTCTCCATTTATCCCTTGCTATTTTGTTTTCTGGGTCCCGGAATTCTTTTCTTTCTTTTTTGTTTTTTTAAAAGATTTATTTATTTTAGAGGGAGGAGCAGGCAGAGGGAGATAGAGAGAACCTCAAGCAGACTCCCCACTGAGCACAGAGCCCGATGTGGGACTCAATCCCACAACCCTGAGATCATGACCTAAGCTGAAACCAAGAGCTGGACGCTTAACTGACTGAGCCACTCAGGCATCCCTTGAATTTTCGTATGTCAGCTATTTCTTTGCCATACTTCTCCCTCCTTCTACTTGGATAAAGCAAAATATTTCTCACAAGCCTGGGAAGTTTACATTACCTCCTCCAAAGGAGTAAAATGAGTGGGGTAGTATGAGGAATATTTGACTACTAAAAGAGATCTGAGTTCTAATATTTGTCCTAACGTCAACAAGCTGTGTGACCTTGGGCCAGTCACTTCCCCTCTCTGGGCTTCAGTTCCCTTGACTCGGAAAATAGTGATCACAATAACAGTAAAAAATATGGAGCATGTTAGACACTGCACTAAGAAAGAACTTCATATAAATCACCTTATGTAATCCTTACCATATTTCTATAAGGAAACTGCTATTACCCCCACATTACCTATGAGGAACCTGAGGCTCAGAGAGGTTAAGTGACCTGCCCTACGTTAAACAGTTTACAATCCAAGTCTGTCTGACTCTCTGACCTGTAAAATACAGCAAATGGGCCACTTTATCTCTAAGGTTCTTTATTTTTTTAAATTTCTTTTTACATAAGCTCCACACCCAACATGAGGCTTGAACTCACAACCCCGAGATCCAGAGTCCCATGCTCCACCGACTGAGCCAGCCAGGCACCCCGATTTCTAAGGTTCTTTAATTCCATGATGTACAATCTACAAATTCTGCTGCTCTTTTCGTTCTGTGTAGGTATTTAAATATCCATTGGAAGTAGACAAAAAAAAAAAAAAAAAAATCACCCTTATTCTATAGGTGCCACCTAAAGCAGGACTTTCAAGTTTCAGAAATTCCTCAGGGTGGAAGTTTATGTTAAACAAATCAGCCTCCCAATTTTGTACGTTCGAGATTCTGGGTTCAGAGCACGCGGTTGGTGCTCATTAAGTATTTTTTGTGTGTGTGCTCATTAAGTATTTGCTGAACAAATAAATTAATAAAAGTCTTTTCAAGCAAACATGTGGTTGCAGTAAAACCTTTCCTTTCTGTGAAGGAAACGTGTCTTCTTCTACTTAAATCAACATAAAACACTTCCCACGTGGAATAAGCTATCAGACATTCCTGATTTCAGGGGCCAGTCTGTGATGGGTCCATCTGAACTCAGGATCCCTGGGCTCAAAGGAACAGATCACCTGGACCCCGCGTGTGTTTCGGCTGCAGGAGCTCTGAGATTCATAACTGCTTTATCCTATTATCATCTGTTGCTGTTACTGGTTTCACAGTAGAGAATGCCTGATTACTAGGTGTTGGCCCTTCCCAATCTCTCAGTCAAAACATCCTTGCTCGTGTCTGTCCCTCTTTTCTAAAAAGGCCAAAAGCCAGAGGGGATCCTACTAGACCACCTTTTAGAGGTTCCACATCCTTTTCCTCCCTAGTGGGTTTGCCTTTTTCTTTCAGTTTGGAACGCCTTTATCTGACGAGAACATATATAAAAACCCTCCATATAAAATGGGAACTGTTCCAGTTAAAGCTAGGAAGGGAGGCCCAAAATTTCTGCCCCGGCAGCCTCCCCCTTATTCACCATGCTGTCCCCGACCTCCAATCCCATTTGCACTGTCCCGGGGACTAAAATTGTGATTGACTTGGAGTGCAGAGGGGATTAGTGTTTATCATCTCCAGAGATTTACCTTTCAAATCCTTGGGTTTATGGCCCCCAACCTCCCTCAACATTTCATTGTCTTAAATTGCTAATGTCCTTACCCTGGAATCCCAATATCCTGGGTTTTGTGGCATTCTGTGGTATAGAATTGCCACAAATCCCTACTCCACAGAGGTTTAAAGGCCCTGAAACTCTAGTAGAACATCAGTTATTAACTCAAAAATTAGCTTTTCTCCTCACTCTCCCTTCTCCTACCTTATCACATACATGTAATTGTCTAGTGGGGGCCATTTTCCCCTTCTTCAACCCTTGTTCCCAGCCTTAAAATGGCAATATCCTCCTCTACCCCACTTCCCATCCCCCACCCCTTCCACCCCCACCAAACAGGTTGGCCACTTGGAATTCACCACTCTGACCAACAAATTATTGGTTGGCCCAACTTTTAGCCTTCACAGAATCCTCAATTCAAATGCACAAACTTGGCTACTAACCTGCAGAGTGCCCTGTCTCCAATTCTATCTGGGCACCTCAAACGTTTCCCTGCACACAGATCTGACGCCTTCCCATATTCTAGCAATTTAAGACTCTGCCGGTATAAATGTCAACGCTTCTCCCCTTATTCATTTACCAAAGCGCTCTCTTTGCCCACTGATAGGTTATGAACAGTAGTTGTTACCCCCATCTCCTCAAACCTTCCTGGGTTCAAATCCCACCAGTTCCTAGCTGTGTGTCCCTGGGTAAGTAATTTTACCTCTCTGTAGCTCAGGAATAAAGGATTAAATGTATACAGTGGTTAAAGCCAGTTAAAGCCAGGTATACACATTGCCAATATGTATGAGCAATAACAACCATCATCATTATCCACAGACTACAATTTTATTATTATTAGGTTGACTGTTCCCTAATACACGCATTAAGCTCCTAAACTGTAATCTGTGGCTCACTAGGAATCTCCTTTAAGCGTCTGGGAGTTTCCAAGATATTTGATTTCCAAATTCCTAACAGAAATTTTACATTTACCTATGGCAGAGCTAATCAAAATATCACATATACTTCTTTTTAGCCAGAATGATACCAACTTTTGATTACATTGCATAGCTCACTGATCAAAAGCTCTGAGCAGTGGTTAAACACTGTTTCCTTAACCGAGTCTGAGAAATAAGCTACTATTTAATAAATATAGCTTAATAGTTGTAATTACTCATAACCCGGAGTTCATAAAGACAAATAATTAAAAGGATCCTTGGTGGTGAAGCTGGGAAGCAACCTCCTTGTAATAAGTGAAGCACAGTAGTGTCTACTAAAGAAATGATCTTTGAGCCAACAACATGTCACACTGATTCCCCAAAAACCGGGCCTTGTGACAGCCTGGGATGTGTCTAAGTATCTCAGTGGCTATCTTTACAAAATCAATCAATTACTTTAATGAAAAAAAAAAAAAGTCAGTATCACTTTAGGACATAAAGTTGGCAGGAATCAAACTCACAAATGTGCAAGTGAAAACTCACAATTCTCTAGTAGATTGGGCTGGTATGCTAAAATGGTCAACGTTGTCGATCTGATTTTTATGCCATTTAATTATATTGATCTGTATTATCTCTCCATTCCAGTTATACTGAAGCCAGATTGCTGTGAGGGAGAACACTTGTTTACGATGGGGATTTTGTTTATTCCAGCCCCCAGTCACTCTGATGGTATAAAGAAATCATGCCTTATCAGGACTCCAAGGAAAATAGAGATCATCCAGTTTAACCTCATCACAGATGAGACATCTGAAGCCAAGAGAGCAGGGGGAATGTGCCCCAAGATGACACAGCTAGTAAGTAACAAAAGCCTCCTAATTTTGAGCAAAAGATATTTCAGCGAACCTACACTACGGTTCAAGAATATTAAACCCACAGAATGCTCAACCGTTGGGCCTCATCATCAATTACAGCATGATGAGTACTGCTGGGTTCTTGGCATCACATTAGATCCTTTATCAAGAATTTCTTTTTGACCTGGCCAAGCACTTAATACTCAAATG